AAAAGTACCAAAAGACAAGCTAAAAGTACCAAAAGACAAGCTAAAAGAACGAAAAGACAAGCTAAAAGTACCAAAAGACAAGCTAAAAGAACCAAAAGACAAGCTAAAAGTAGTAGAAGACAATAACTGAGACAGTTTGTTGAAGCAGGTGTAAAAAACAATGTTTATAAAGAAAGTAAAGAGATCTCAATTATTTATTTATGGGGAACATAATTTAAAGTATTATAAAAAATATTAAAATGACAAAAAACAAAATCCACATCACCCATCTCCTGAATGAGCTGAACCTTTTGATTTCTGAATGGTTGATCGCCTAAAATCTTAAGAAGGAGTTGATGGTGTTCTGTTCCAAACACGCTGAACTACAGCTTTAGGCTGAACACTCAGGTGAAGGTAGCTAAAAGAGTTCATCTCCTCTGGGGGGTGGGTACTGTCAGGTCCGTTTGTGACCATGTTCTCCATGCTTCCAGCTGCGTAACCCATCAGAGAAGTTCATCTACGCCACAGTGAAGCAGAGCTCGGTGGATATCTACTTCAGGCGGCAGGTGGAGCTGAGCACCATGTACCGGCACATGGAGAAACACAACTACGAGAGCGCCGCCGAGGCCATCCAGGCTGTCCGAGACAAGTAGGCATCAGGAACGCCCGTGCACGGTGCGTCACACCCTTCCTGCGCCGCAGACCTAATGTCCGTGCCTCTCCTCCCACAGTAAGCTGCACGCCTTCATCTGGGACAGCGCCGTGTTGGAGTTCGAGGCGTCGCAGAAATGCGATCTGGTGACGACAGGAGAGCTTTTCTTCCGCTCTGGGTTTGGGATCGGAATGAGGAAAGACAGTCCGTGGAAGCAGAACGTTTCTCTGGCTATTCTCAGGTGCGAAGTCTGGACGTATCAATGACAGATCATAGCCTTGTTAGCTCCGCCCACTGATGCCCCGCCCACTCCTTTTGTAACCACAGTTCTCATGAGAACGGCTTCATGGAGGATCTGGACAAGACTTGGGTTCGATACCAGGAGTGCGACTCCAGGAGCAACGCGCCCGCCACCCTCACCTTCGAGAACATGGCAGGTAGGAAACAGGCTCCGCCCTCAAATTATCAGTCTGCATGAAAGACTGACGTGATGGAGAGGTTTGGTGCTTTACCCTCATCACCTGTCCTCCTCAGGTGTGTTCATGCTGGTGGCGGGCGGCATCGTCGCAGGAATCTTCCTCATCTTCATCGAGATCGCGTACAAACGGCACAAAGACGCCCGCAGGAAACAGATGCAGCTCGCATTCGCCGCCGTCAACGTTTGGAGGAAGAACCTGCAGGTCTGCTGCCCTGCTTTACTTCTGCCTTACTCTGGATTTATCTCTTCATTACGCTGGCACTTGATGCTGTTTGCATTTTTCGAAACGATAGTTTACTTCACATTATGCTAAATAACTTTACGTTACTTTATACGATTTAATTTTAGCTACATTAAACTGTTACTTTATGATTATTTATGATTTTACTTTACATCACTGTGACTTTGTTTTACTTGTTACTTTACATTTAGTTACATTACTTTACACAACACAACAACATTATTGGTTTGCACGTATTGTTACTTTACATAGTTTTACTGTTTTATGTTCCCATTACTTTGTTAGCTTTTGTTACGTTTATTTATTTATTTATTTTTTACGTTATATTACGTTACTGAAGCCTTTGTGTTGATCTGCTCGGCTCTTGCTGACCTGTGGAGGTGCAATCTTTATTTATTTTTTTCAGTGAAATGTTTAAACGGTTTTGAGTTGAAACCTGGACTGAACGTTGCGTCGTTAGTTTATTTCCAGGGAACGAGTTTTTGTCACACGACCGTCACGCTGTGGCGTTTGTGTTGAGCCCTGCTGTAGTCAGCAGCTTAACGGTTGGTTGTTCAGGTTAGTGCTGGTTAGTCAAGGGCGTGTTGATGAAGATCTGCTGCAGCAGGAAGGAGAACTGAGTCTCACAGGTAACCACTGGTTTATTGATCGGAGCCGTCTCGACCGTGTGATGCAGGTTTGATTTGTTTGACGTCCGCTCCAGTCAGTTCAGTTAAACCTCTTCAAACCAGACTCACGTTGCGCTGTTAGCAGGATACAGAGCAATATGTTAATCAAAAACCCTGTAGAACCCATAATTTAACTTTAAAAGCCACCATCCAAGCTTATATATTTTGCAACATTGATATTTATATATGAGTGAACAGATGAAGGCAGCATAAACGTTCTGATCAGTCAGTGAAGCGTCATCAGCAAACACTTAAAACTCCATTATCCTCAGCAGAGTTTAAGGTTTTATTCAAAACTTCCAAAATTGTAATTATTACAAAACTAAAAAGTAAAAATCTTCAAATTAAGATGAAAGTCATTTAAAATTGTTTTGAACCAGTTCGTCTAATGTCTTGCTAGTTTTACACATTTCTTTTAAAAACAAGAACATGATGCGAACCGTCCACTCTGATTGGTCAGCTCCAGTGGTGCGATCAAGCTCCGCCCACATTTCATTCCCTCAGTTCAATGACAATTTTCAAAATAAATGCCTTTCAATTCAATTCAATTAAAAAATACTTTATTAATCCCAGAGGTAAATTCATCAATAATTAATTTGCTGCTGACGACCAGAACCAGCTGCTCACATGCTCAAGAAGGACCATCAGCCTAACAATGGATCATTAGCACCTGATGGCTGTTTACTGTTCACAGAGGGCTGAGTGATACTAGCAATCACAGCATTGTAAGAAGGGGACAGTTGAACCTGGAGGCTCCACCCCTGTTTAATGATGGACGGTTTCTTTTCACAAAGATGGCCTCCTTTACTCCTCTATCAAACCATCGTTCCTCTCTGTCCAGGATGTGAACATCTTCATCCTTGAAAGAGTGACCTCTGACCTGGAGATGAGTGTAGACCTCAGAGTCCTGGCCTGATGATGTTGATCTTCTGTGCTGGTCCATCCTTTTGGCCAGTGGCTGTTTAGTTTCCCCGATGTAAGACTGATCACCCCCCTGACACTGAACAACATACACAACATTACTCTGTTTGTGCCGGGGGACTGGATCTTTGGGATGAACCAGTCTTTAATGTATTTTGGGGTTTAAAAGCCACTGGGATGTTGTGTTTAGAAAATAAACGTCTCAGTTTCTCTGATACTCCCTCAACATACGGAATGACCACTGGTCTGGGTCTGGGTTCCTCCTTTTCACCTGATGCTGACTGGAGTCCTGTTTGGGTTTCTTCTCTGCTTTCAGGAAGGCCCAGTTAGGATATCCACATTGTTCTAGAGCCTGTCTTGTGTAGGATTTCTCCTTCTGCCTGGCTCCTGAGCTAGTGGGGACGCTGTCTGCTCTGTGGTACAGAGTCCTGATGACTCCTAACTTGTGCTCCAAAGGGTGATGGGAGTCAAACTGCAAATACTGGTCTGTGTGGGTGGGTTTGTGGTACACCTCAGTTTGCAAATGTCCTCTATCAGAGACTGAGACCTCACAGTCCAAGAAAGCCAACCTGCCATTTTTTACATCTTCTCGTGTGAACTTGATGTATTTATCCACAGAGTTGATGTGGTCAGTAAAATGTTGGACTTCCTGAGATTTAATTTTAACCCAGGTGTCATCAACATACCTGAACCAATGACTTGGTGGTGTCCCTGAAAAGGACGTCAAGGCTCTCTTTTCTACCTCCTCCATGTACAGGTTGGCAACAATAGGAGAAACTGGAGACCCCATAGCACACCCATGAACTTTGTTGGATTTTTCTACCTGGATTATTGAGCATGCATCAGGATGTCTTTCTATAATGTTATCAGACAAAGGTGACTCTTGCAGCCTCCGTGCTTATTCGGGTGAACGGCTTCATGCTTGTGCAGCACAGTGATCCAGACAAAAACAACTCTTTAACACACACACATAATAATGAGTTATAACATTTGACTTTAGTAGGTGAAAAACATCTGCAGCCAGTTTCTTAGGATCCACTGTGGGATGGACCTTTACAAGAGATCCTTCCTGCCTGCAGCCATCAGCATCTATAACATCTCTTAATGAAACGAGGATAACGAGTTACAACAACAAATTATTTCCCTTTGGATTAATAAAGTATTTTTGAATTTGAATTGAATCTCCATCAACCAACATGACCACATTGCTTTGACCAAAATGGCTGCGACTCCTTCTCTTCTCACCGTAAGATGATGCTAGTCCAAGACTCTGGCAGAAAGCGTGGCGGGTGACATGCATTCCTGCAACCAGTGTTAATCTTTTTGTTTCAAGCTGCTTCCATTTGAAGTCAAAACTGTAACAGTCTAGAACTGCTTGTTTTTGTCCGTCACAGTTCGTCCCATGATGGTTAATTAACTCAGTTAATACCAAAGTTCACCAGCGCCGTTTGAGAACCAGGGGTCTTAAATGTTCCTGTGAGGATCTGAGACGAGTGAAAAAAGAGGCAGAAGAGTTTCAGTTTAAGGTAATCTCATCAGAGCTGACCACCAAAACAACTTTTCATCTGATCTTTGTGTCAGCTGGCAGAGACGGGCAGCAGGACGGCGCTGAAGAAACGCCTCGTGGTACCAGTTACTTTGTGACGTTTACCAGTTAACGGTTCTGAAGGCCCGAATGTTGGTCAAAGCTCTGACACGTTGATCTGCAGCGGAGCAACAAAATCTGACAAACTGCTGTAAAAATCTCATTTCTAAACACATTAAAGGTTCAGGTGACTAAAACTGAATGAATAATTTGGGATTAAAACGTATGCTGTGCAGCAACTTAAAATAAGATGTTTAACGTTTGAATTCAGTTTCAGTAGTCCCTCGCTTCTTGGTGGTTTGACCTTCGTGGACTCGCTCTTTCACGGTTTTTCAAAGTAAGATTGGACATGACACACGATTGTCTGATTGATGGATGAGCTGCATGATCGGCATGGATTGTTTATTTAAATAAATTATTTTAAATGATTCAGCACCTGATTGCAGCGGAGAAGTGGGCGTGGCCGACATCGGCAGGTGGCAGAGAGTGGAGATCATGACAGGCGGTGCACTTTGTTTAGAATAATGTAAGAGTGTGGGAAGGGTTTGAAACGCTATATATATTATATATATATATATATATATATATATATATATATATAATAAATAAACTAGTACTTGTATTACTATTCCTACTTGGCAGTTTTTCACTCTTCAGGGTACGGATCTCCAGCGATAAACGAGGGACTACTGTACAGCTGCTGTCAGCCTGAATTCTGCAACACTTTTTATTTTGAACAGCCTTAAATGTCTAATATTTATTTATTTATTTCTAATGACCAATTTATCTGCTATTTAACAGCAATTCATTCAACCTTTATTTCTACAGGTTAGTCTCATTGAGCACGAGGACTCATTTAAACAGAGACCTGTTGAAAACAAAGAACACAGATGAGGTAAACAACAACAGACAGTAATATAAAATTATATAAAATGAAAAGTAAACAAAAACAGCTACATTATAAAGTGGTGTAAAAAACTAAAGCATGTCTGAACATGTTATGGCAAGCAAACCTTGTCTGATGCTACAAAGCACAAAATCTGTTTTCATTCATTAAACATCCAGAGGAAAAACTCTATTATTGAAACAATCAGAGTTTTAGTTGCATTTAAACACTGTAAACAATGAACCCGTTCAAAGCTCAGATGATTTGAGCTCGTTGTATTTTTAGATGCTATTCAGATAAAAGATGTGATCTGTGCAGATAAAAACATTACGTTCAGATTAAAGAT